CTTTCTCTTTTTCTCTCATTCTTTTTCTCTCTCTCTTTCTCTTTCGCTTTGTTTCTCTCAATTTCTTCCAATTTTCTTCTTTCTTTCTTTTTTCTTTTCCCTCTCTCTCGCTCTCTTTCTATTTTTCTATTTCTTTTTCTTTCATTATTTTTCCCTTATCTCTCTACTTATCTTTTCAAGTTTTCTCTCATTCTTCTTAATCTAATTTTTACTCTAATCTCTCCTATTTTTTTAAAAAATTATTCGAAAAATATCTGTCTGTTATTCCATCTGCAACAAATTCGTTTTTTTTTCTTTTGTTCACGACTTTTAATGTCAGTGTCACCCTATTACACTTCTTCTTCCAGTGTCATTGATCTGATTTGATTTTTATTTCCTTCACATTCTCCGAATAAAAAGATTATTTTTCTTTATTCAGATAATAATAATCATTTTCAAATTCTCCAATGGTAATGATAGCGAAATTCGGATCAAAATCAACACAAAAAATCGATATGTTCGCTTATCTTTCTGTTCGAACCCCTTTCAGGTTTATTAAATAGGAGTAGAGGTTTATACCTTGTTTCCTGTTTAGGATTGGGTTTCCGTTTCATTCTAAAGCCGTGATTTTCAACCGCTTAAGCGTGCAAAATATATATATATATATATATATATATATATATATATATATATAGATAGATAGATAGATAGATAGATAGATAGATAAAATGCACTGTTACATTAGAACATGTACATATCCACTACAATACTGTACATCTTGTTTCATCGTTAAAAAAAATAACGTTTCAGCAGTTGGGAAATCACGATTCTACTAAAACCTAGCATTGTGATTCCCACCTGATGAAACGTTAAAAATTTTAACGTTGAAACAGGATGTACACTTTTGTAGTGGTTATGTACATGTTCTAATGTAACAGTATCTATTCTATCTATCTAGCTATCCATATATATATATATATATATATATATATATATATATATATATATATATATATATATATATATATATTGCCTGTTCTAATGTAACAGTGCATTTTATCTATCTAGCTATCTATCTAGCTATCCATATATATATATATATATATATATATATATATATATATATATATATATATATATATTGCCTGCTCTAATGTAACAGTGCATAATAAATAAGTATTTATTGCTCTATATTTGTATTGAGCCCTGTTTTAAATTAATGTTTTGAACGCTGAAATCTTACACTTTTGTTCTTTTACATTTGGATATGTGTGTGTGTGTGTGTGTGTGTGTGTGTGTGTGTGTGTGTGTGTGTGTGTGTGTGTGTGTGTGTGGAAGTAGTAATGATACAGCGTTAGTATTTGAATAAATGAATAAGAATTACACTTAATTTGCAAATAATTATCACTATTATTCTATTATGTTATTTTAAATACTTTAATATGAATAGTTAATCCTTACTATGGCTACCCATCTGAAAGCGCTCAACGAAGACATTGATTATTATTTTCCTTCCTTGAGCACAGAAAATTATGATTGGATTCGAAATCCATTCATAAATGTTACTTTTAATAATAGACTTCCGTTATCTAAAGAAGAAGAATTGGCCACCATTTCTAGTGATCGAGGGCTCAAAATAAAACATTCGACGGTAACCAGTGATACATTTTCGATTTCAATACAAAAGGAATGTCCTGCATTAGCTAAAAAGGTTTTATCAGTTTCATTGCAATTTTCTAGGTCTTATTTATGTGAATCTGGTTTCCCACCCCTAAATAACATTAAAAACAAAAGCGAGAAAGACTATGCTCAAATGAAAAAGAAATGAGGGTCTACTTATCGTACATTCGACCAAAAATCGAAGAAATCACGAAAAACAACTAGACACAGGTTTCGCAATAAACAAATTGCACAAATAGTTGAACAGAAACATTGAAATAAACTAATTTCATATTTGTGTATGTGTATTTTTTAAATCGATGGTTTTATTTCATAACATTTAAATGTATATCCTTTAAAAATGTTGCTAAGTGTGCCGTGATATTTTCGCAACGATTTTTTCTGTACAATAATAATTTTTATATACACTGCGTGCCAAATTATTATCGAGATAACTTTTTTTCTAAAATTTCAAAAACCGTCCAATCAATTCACACAAAATGTTCACACACTGTTGGCAACACTGACCTGCGCAATCACTGAAATTTTCGTACTGATCTGCGCAATGTAAACAAACTGGCGCCATATTTATTATAAGCACGGTGATTACGAAAATTTCATTGATTGCGCAGGTCAGTGTTGCCAAAATTGTGTGAAAATTTTGTGTGAATTGATTGGACGGTTTTTGAAATATTAGAAAAAAAAGTTATCTCGATAATAATTTTGCACGCAGTGTATATGTTGGAAATAAATTTGGAAATAATCGAAATTAATTGCGAAAGTCGCCGATCAAATAAAAAATAATTATTTGTAGGGAAAGTGACAGCAGAAGAATTATCGTTGAACTTTTAAAAGGTAAGTTTAAATATTAAGGCAAATACTTCAATGCAGCGATCAATTTTGAGTTCTTTTGTAGTTTATTGTTCCTATCGCATCTATTCCTCCTTATTGTTCCTGTCGCATCTATTCCTCCTGATGAAGGTCTAATCAAGAGCCCTGTGCAGGAGCTAGCTTAAATGCCGCCCGATATGACGGCTTTTAAGCTAGATCTTTATATATTTCAATATTTGTTTCTGTGTGTATCTGATGATATCTCTTAATCTCGCTTTTGTTTTGTTTTGTTTTTTTCTTTTATATCTTTCCCTTCGTCTCTTGGCTAAACTCTTTCTTTTTTTCTTTACAATGCCTATATCGCTTAAAACGTCTTTCTCTCTAATCCTCTCTCTCTCTCTATATATATATATATATTTTTTCTCTCTTCCTTTTTTCCTTTTCTCTTTTATGTCTGTTTCTCGGTTTTCTTCCTTCTCCTATTCTCGTTTTCACGCCTGATCTTTCTCTTTTCCGGTTCAATACTTTTCAGCAATCTATCCGTTCTTTATTTCATTCTTTCAATCCGTTCGCGCCTATATTTTTATTTCACAAAGCAGCGTTTACAAAAAGGAAAAAAGAAAGAAAGAAAGAAAAAAAGAAAGCCGTGTATGCATTCAACACTATTTACGACTTCCCAGCTCGAGATCTGTTTATGATTGCTATTCTGTCAATTGTCGTTGATTACCTTGCAGTCGTTGGCTGCCATTATTGTTGTCAGACATCACTTGAGAGAAGAAGAAAAAAACGTTAACATTTATTTGAAACGGGGAAGACATTGAGGCTTTGTCAATATGTCAAGGTTATGCTCTTTCATCATTTCCTCACCCATACAAACTTTTCTTAAACTAAACTCGTTTCTCTAATCCCAGCCGCATATTTTATACGACAATATAGCAGCTGCCTAGATGGAGCGTATCTGATTGCTGGAAGTTTCTTTTAAAAAATAAATGAATTTAAAATAATAACAGCGATCAGACCTTCTCTGGGAGTTACGACTATTCACTTACTAAGGGGCAGATTGGGCGCCTCGGTGTGATGTAATGGTTAGCAAGCTGGTCTCGCTAAAAAACGTTACAACTGAATAGTGAGTTCGATCCTCACTAGGTGCCCCATATATTCGGCCATGTGCCACATCTAAGCCACGCTTAGAAAATCAATTTTTGGGCACCTCGAGGCGGTGTAATGGTTAGCAAGCTTGTCTAGCTAGAACAATTAAGACTGAATAGTGAGTTCGATCCTCACTGGGTGCCCCATACTTTCGGCCTTGTGCCACACCCAAGCCACGCTTAGATAATCTCTACTAAAGTGGCAGATTTGCATGATGTGAGAAAATAGGTTTTACTCTGATTGTTCGTTCTGTGGTCCGACAATTCACATGATCCAAAAACGCTTACAGTACGATATGTTTCGAATCAGCTGATATTACTATGTAGAATTCCTGTCAGAGAGTTCTGATCCGGTTTCAGACCACGCTAATACCGTAATTCTGCGGTTTATACTCCGACTCGTTAAACTAAGTAAAACTATTGCATAATACAGAATCAAAGAACTGTAAATTCCGTAACTATCGATGTTTTATTTTAGCATAAAATTAGACAGGGATGGACAATTTTTTTTTCTCTCTCTCAAGATAATAAAATATTTTCCCTATAACCAGCTAAAAAGCATAAACGTTCATTTCTCTAAAGTACGTCTATATCGACAATATTCATTAAATTTACAGTTGTATTTCAAACACTAACTGCGGTTTACGGGTGCATCGCTTTGAAACACCGAAGTTAAGCAACGTCTAGCCTGGTCAGTACCTAGATGTCTGACCGCTTCGGTTGGTTGGTTGATGTTGTTTAGCGGTATATCATACTCTATGGGTTAGATAAACCAAAATCTACATATTTTAAATACATTTTTATGGCTTCAACTAAATATGTTTTGAGTGCAATTGTATGCCTTCAGCTATAGATAAAATGTATTGCTGGCCATTTTACTATAAATGTGTATTGTTGGTATTTTTACTATAAATATGTATTGTTGGTAATTTTTTTTTATAAAAATGAATTGCTGGTACTTTTTAACTGTAAAAACGTATTTTATACTTTTATATCGTTTTGCTTTGTAAACTATTTGCGGATAGCTGGGTCCCTAAGAGGTGCTACCACTCCGGGTCATGGTGGACTTGAGAACAGCAGCCGTTAAGAGGTGGTTCCACGCTCCACAAAACCCTCAATCTCCCACTCAGTTGCCTTGCTGCTGGATGTATTTTATCGTCATACCCAGGACTAGAGTGCTTGAGAATACCAGATATTGTAAATTTGCATGAGCCGGTGGTAAAATGGATAACGGTTTTAATTGTAAACCGAAGTGCCGTTGCAGTTCGCTTTGGTTTCGTTATATTCACTCACGCGAAAATACCTTTAGGAAAAGGTATGAATCCACCTCTCCCCCGGATATGGGTTAATTAATATAACATATTAAATCATTATTATCTACCCCACACACAAATTCTTATAATCTAAAAATATTTCCTGGCTTTAAATAACCTGCAATGGGTTGATAAACCGTAAAAAAACGAATTATTGCGTCAACTGCTATTGGACAGAGGTAGTTAAACGGATTATTCTATATGAATTACGAGGTTTAGTATGAAATTAATGACTAGTTATTCCTTAATTACAACTGACTTAATAGTTGA